TCCTTCGATGACTTTGTAGTCATAAATATAGATAGTTTCTGCTTTTTAAAAGTCCTTAATACCAGTAACCATGTATATAGACCTGGATTTCAGTGTGTTTTATGGAACCTCTGCTTTGTTTCACAAATCTGGGACTCTCTTAATTTTTTCTTTTCTTTTTTTTGGAGAGGTTTTTGCTATAGGGTGTGTGAGCTCGCCAGAAAGAGAGAGAGAGAGACAGAGAGACAGAAAGCAAGAAATCACTCTCAGGGGTATGGCCATGCTGCAATCCCTTCTCCTCCATTCTCCTCTTGGGATCTTGGGCAGGCACTCACACATGCCTGGCGTGAGTTTAAGCCACCAGGTCTGTTTTTTAATTTGTTGGAGAGGTTTTCGCTATAGAGTGTGTGTGCTCGCCAGACAGATAGAGAGAGACAGAGAGATAGAAAGCGAGAAATCACCCCACGGGGGGATGGCCATGCCACAGTCCCCTCTCCTCCATTTTCCTCTCGGGATCCTGGGCACGCACGCACATGCGCCCAGCATGAGTTCAAGCCACCGGGTCCAGGACACGAACCGCGGTCGACTATGTGAGAGTCCAGCGACATAGCCATTACACTAACTGCTGGTCCCTCTTAATATTTTTTAAAGGTTATTTATTTATTGTCATTATTTTTAAACTTGCTGTAGGGCACATGTATTCACCAGAGGGAGGTGGGGGGGGGAGAGAGAGAGAGAGAGAGAGAGAGAGAGAGAATGAGACAGACAAAGTGAGACAGTAAGCAGCCAGCTCTGGGACTCGAACCATGGTCAGTCATATGGTAGTCTAGCACCTTAACCACCGTGCTACCTGTTGGCTCCATTCTCTTTTAATATTTTAAGAAAAGATTTCTGTTTTTCCCATTGTTTAATGGGGAATTGTCTTAAATTTCATTAATCCTGTTGTTTATGTTGAGTGTGCTGAATTACTGAGTGAAGGAGCTGTGCGGGTGAGTCTAGTGAGCCAGTGCACGAAGACTCCCGAGTCAGTTTCGGTCCTTGGGAAAACTGCCTTCACGATACCACTTTACTTTTACCACTTCTCCCTACTAAAAGTAACTAGGACGGTGTACCAAAAGCAGTAGTTTGCTTAGTATTACTCTGATCAAGTTAGAGCTGTCTTCTGGTGTCTGAATAATCCCAGACGACCTGATTTATAAGCCCCTTGAATGCCATTGAAGACGCTCTGTTAGCCAGAGTTGCACCTGCACGGCCCCCAGTGCTGGACAGTAGAGCCGCCCGGGCTGGGCTGAGGACTCTCCGGCACGCAGCAGTTTGCAGTGTGAAAGCACACCGTGGGTCGTTCAGACGTGACGTCGCCAGACCAGCAGGTGTGGCGCTGTCGGGACCTTGCTGGGGGCCCTGAGGGTTTGGGGAGCTGTCTACACTCGCTGATATGCTCTACTTGCATCCTAACTAACCTATCCTACTTCAGTTTTTGAATCAGAGCCGGCAGGCACTTGAGGTGAAAATGGAGAGCCCCACGGCTGGGGGTGCGGCAGTCATGAGGCCCATGATGCAGCCCCAGGTGGGCCCTCAGGTGAGCACGAGGGACCACTCCACGTTCGCTGCTGCGTCCGCAGCTCAGGTCGGGCTGGTGCTTGGCTCTCAGTAAATGTTTAAAAAAAAAAAAGTAATTCTGAGTTTCTTGCATAGGAAATGGTCCACGGTCCTCTTACACCTTTCTCACTCCTCTCCTGGTGACAGAGGAGGAGAGGTTCTCTCCCTGGAACTACTAATCAGTGCTTTCTAAATGAATTCCCTTTGGAACGAACTGCCATGCTGTGAGAACAGCTATTTAACGGCTTTTTAGGAATTTAAAATAATGAATTTATAAACGTTTCTCTGTTTGTAAATTATGAAATACATGATCACTGGGTAAAATTTTGAAATTGTAAATATAAAGAAGAAAATGTTCTCAGTGACAGCCTCTGAGAGGACTGATTTCCCATGTGGGATACTAATACTCTCTTTTACCTGCAGCCAGTGGTGGAGACAACACTAAAGTGTTTTCTTATTATTTTTATTTATTTATTTTTTGGAGAAGTTTTTGCTATAGGGCATGTGCATTTGCCAGAAAGACAGAGAGAAACAGAGAGACAGAAAGCGAGAAATCACCCCCCAGGGGATGGCCACACCGCAATCCCTTCTCCTCCATTCTCCTCTCAGGATCTTGGGTGCACACACACGCGCCCGGCGTGAGTTTAAGCCACCGGGTCTGGGACTCAAACCACGTTTGACTATGTGGGAGTCCAGCAACATAGCCATTACACCAACTGCTGGTCCCAGTGTTTTCTTATTATTAAAAAAATGGATTTATTCAAAGAAAATTTTAAAGAGGTTTTTGCTGTAGAGTGCGTGCTCTCACCAGAGAGACAGAAAGCGAGGACCCCCCCACCCCCCCGGGGCAGGAGGGAGTAGTCTGGCCACAGCTCCTTCTCTTCATTCTCCTCTTGGAAACTTGGACACTCACACACATGCATCCGGTGTGAGTTTTAAGTCACCGGGTCCAGGACTCGAATCACAGTTAACTACTTGTAATCATTATGCCATCTGCTGGCCCCTATTTGTTCAACGTTATTTATTATTATTTTTTTTCTTTTTTTAAAAATTATTTTTATTTCACTGTATTTATTACTATTACTATTATTATTATTATTATTTAGCTTTACTAGAGAGAGTCAGAGAGAGGGAGGGAGAATGTGAGAAAGCAAGCCACCAGGTTCAGGACTCGAACCGTGGTCAGCCATGTGGGAATCCACAGCTTTAATCACCATGTCACCTGCTGGTCCCTTATTATTTTCAATTTGGCCAGAGAGAGAGAAGGGGATAGTGAGAAAGCAAGCTGCCACGTTTGGGACTCGAACTGTGGTTGGCCATTTGGGAGTTCAGCATCTTAACCCCCAAAGCACCTGCTGGCCCCTTAAGGTGTTTTTTAATGTGCATGGGACAAGTGCCTACGTGACATTCTCCCCTGTGCTTTTAAAAAGCAACAGCTTGTGAAATGCCCTGTCCCCATTGGTATGTCTACCCGGAAGAGCTGACATCGACATTTTCCTGGTAGCCAGACACCCCGTATAAACTGAGCTAGATATCGCCTCCAAAGATGGCCAGAGTTTGTTTCCAGGAGGTGATCTGCCCCAGCTAGGGGTCCCCGATCAGCCTCCTTACCTAGCACTCTGATCACGTCTCCTCCTTAATCTTCAGACAGATTGTCCTTGCCCTCGCCTCTCCTTTCAGGCCTCCCGAGGTGGGCTCCTGCTCTCTGAGTATAACCCCATCCTCCTTTTTTCTTGTGACCTCCTCTCATGTTTCATCTCTGAGTTCAACTCTTTTTCGCTTAGTTTTATTTCACAGCTCTAGGAAGTTTGTCCTCAGAGTCTACCCCTAAACATTTTCTCATGTGAGGAACGTTTCTACTCTGTTACAGCCTGGCAGCTTGTTTCCTTTCGTATCCTGGCCTCTGATAACTTCCAGGTTCCTCTTCTGCAGTCACCACCCCCTCCCCCTGGAAAAAAAAATAAGCAAAAAGAAAAAAACACCCCACAAAACACACAAAAAACCTTTCATCATAAAAAGTTGTGCATTTTCTCTTTCCTTTAATTATTAAGGAAGGTACTGGGTGTTTTTTCTCTCCGTGATACCAAAGTACTTCGGGGTGCCGTGAGTGCAAGTCGATCTTGCTCTCCCTGTGTAATCGGTTCTTCCTCGGATATTAGCAGGGCTTCCTTAACACCCAGATGGTCGCCCAGCGCAGCAGAGAGCTGCTGAGTCACCACTTCCGGCACCAGCGGGCTGCGATGATGATGCAGCAGCAGCAGCAGACCCAGGCCTTCAGCCCACCGCCTAACGTGACCGCGTCTCCCAGCATGGATGGGGTGTTGGCGGGACCCGCGATGCCACCCGCTCCACCACAGCAGTTTCCATACCCTCCAAGTTACGGTAAATGTGACAGTGAGAAGGGGCAGGGCCTTCCCCAGAGCACACCCTTGAGGACATGGGTGTCACTGGACGTGCTGCCCAGGAAAAACAGACACAAATGCAGGTCACAAGGAAGATGAGGTTAAAAATTCTTTCTAAGGACAACAGAACAGTGCTGCAGCGCCCAGGGGATGGGGCAGTATGTTATCGTACTCAGGGGTCTTTTCAGGTCTTACTCTATCAGCTTCCTACCTGTTCGTGTGGCAGCGAGACAGCAGAGTTTTCCCTGTGTCCCGGCTTACGTGTCCCGGTACAGTGCCTGCAATCACCGCAGCGCGGGGGATGTGCTGTAGGCTTGCACAGTCTTGTTCTTGTTGACTTGCGCTTATTATTAACTAATTATTAATGACCATAATGCAGCGAGTGCTTCAGCTCAGCCTTCGTGAGGTCCCAGGAGCGTGGTTGGGGTAGAGGTGTCAGGGTGCAGCCCTGCAATTTGGGGACTGCAGAGCCTCTTTTAGGGGGGACAGGGTGATGCGGGCAGAATGCCACGGGGACAGGTTTCCACAGACAGCCCGTGACACAGTGGGGGGACAGGGTGATGCGGGCAGAATGCCACGGGGACAGGTTTCCACAGACAGCCCGTGACACAGTATCCTTTGGTGATCTAGACGGTGTCCTCCTCTGCCATGAGCCTGTCACTCCTGTGCCATCTTGGTGAGAAGCAAGAATAACCAGCATGTCACATCTTTTACTTATCACCTTCCCTGTCCCCATTTGAAAAAGAACATAGGAGTTGGCGCTCTGATTTCTTTTTTTTTTAAAGGAGTGGGACAGCAGCCAGATCCAGCCTTTGGTCGAGTGTCTAGCCCTCCTAATGCAATGATGTCGAGAATGGCTCCCTCCCAGAATTCCATGATGCAGCACCCTCAGACCGCACCCATGTATCAGTCCTCAGAAATGAAGGGCTGGCCATCAGGAAACTTGACCCGGAATAGGTAAGGAAAAGAAGTCATTCACATCCCAGTGCTGGGATTAAATCGAGGGAATTCATCTCTCCGCATTTTTCAGTCAAGCTGGTTTGGATAGATCAAAAGGCCTGGTTTTGTATTAGAAAGCGCGGTATTTGGCTTGTCTGTGCTGACTCCTTCGTACCATGTGCATGTCCAGGAGGGTGTTGGGCCCAGACAGCTGTGCGAAAAGAAAGGCAGGCCAGTCAGCCAGGGAGTTTTCTCCCCATGATGCTCCTGGCTACATATGACATTTGAGAAAATCGCGATAGTCTTTCTGCGCCTGCCCTGTGTTGCTAAAACCCACCTGGAGGTCATGCCGTGCCTTCTCTGCAGCTCCTTCTCGCAGCCGCAGTTCGCCCACCAGGGAAGCCCCGCAGCGTACAGCATGGTGCACGTGAACGGTGGCGGTGCGCACATGGGACCGATGAACGTGAACTCCATGCCCATGTCTGGCATGCCCATGGGTCCCGATCAGGTACGAGGATCTGTTCCTTACCCTCTTCAAAAGCTTTCTCTTGTTCTCGGAAGATAGCCGAAGCCTCAGCTGTAATCTGTAGGTCCTAGGTGGAGTGTAACTGGGATATATGAAAACATAGTAATTGGAAAGACTGGTTTGAAAGCATCGGGCCATTAGATACTTCGGTTAATAGGAGGACTCTGGGGCCAGCCGGTGGCGTGGTGGTTGAGGTGGCTGGATCCCACGTTCCAACTGCAGAGTTCGAGTCCTGGACCTAGTGGCTTGAAAAACACACCAAGTCCGTGTGTGTGCATGCATGCCCCAAATCCCCAGAGGAGAATGGAGAAGATACTGTGGTGGCCTTCCTCCCAAGGGGTGATTTCTCAGTTCCTGCTTTCTTCCCAGCAAGCCTCCTACAGCAAACTTGGGGGGAAAAAACGAGGAATCTGTATCAGCCAGAACCATGTTACAAACTGAGTAGACAAGGTATTTCTTCTGTTGTGCAAAAGCACATGTTTTACTCTTGTTTCTTTTCTGGTTAACAGAAATACTGCTGACAGCACTACACCAGGACCTCTGAGGGAGTCACTTACAGGTGACACCGCACCAGGATTATTGGGAGGTGGAGAGTCACCATTCAGACATCCAGCTTTGAAGAATGGATCGGCTTTGATCTCCGTCAGGGGTATTCCACGGGATGTCATTTGAGCAGGACTGGATTTTAAGCTGAAGCGCAATATCTACCTGTTTCTTTTCCCCTCCTTCTGTGTATTAAGGAGTTCAAAACAAATATTTTTGGCATTCTGTCTCCTAGGGATGTGATTTTAGAGACAGAGAGAGCGTTACTGATCACAGATCTGGGCCACTTCTGCCTTGCTAGCCAAAGTCTCTCGCATAAGTGGGTGGGCAGAGGCCACTGGCAACACCAAGAGCTGGGACGCCGGTGTCTCCCGTTGCAGGACTGGACAGAGCGTAGCCCCAGCCTCCAAGTATTGATGTCGCTCCCAGGTGGTTCTGTGTCGGCCCTTTGTCCGGTGGCATTGGCATTTCTGCGCTCCTGTCCTTTACTGATGGCTCTGAGTTGCTCTGTCCCTGTTCTTTGTTGTCCTAGGCTGTCCTCTGATGAAGATTGCCATTTGCCCTTCGTGTCCTGTAACATGTCACCTCCAGGGGTTGTCGTTGGTGTCAGTGGCTTTGCAGAAGGGAAGATGAGACGACAGTATTTAATTGTAGCAGTAGCCAATTGTTCACACGCTAACGTGTAGCCGTGTGCACTTTATTTAAAAAGTAATGGATAAATGCAATATTCTTGAGGTCTTGAGGAATGGGGAACCACATTCCTGGTTTTTGTCTACACTAATCTGTTAGACAAGAACTATGTTTTTTTTCCTTCCTTTTATTTACTGGTCTCACCCTTTGCCTATATGGTAGAGCAATAATGCTTTTTGAAAATGAACTTCTAAAACCCCAAGGCCAGGTACTGCATTCTGAATCAGAATTTTGCAGTGTTTCTGTGAATAGATTTTTTTTTTTTTGTAAATATTACCTTTAAGATATTGTATTATGTAAAATATGTACATACCTTTTTTGTAGGTCACAACAACTCATTTTTACAGAGTTTGTGAAGCTAAATATTTAACATTGTTGATTTCAGTCAGCTCGGCATGGTGAGGCTACGGACAGAAGAGACACCCCTGCGTTTGGTGGCCTGGAGGAGGGACCGTGGTCCACGGCTTTTCCTTCCTCCCCAACCTTAGATGCCTCGCTCTTTTCAGACTCGGTCTAAATGCTTTTAACATGATCATTCATTTAGACGTAGGCATTTGCCTTTTTTTTTTAAAAAAAAAAATTCCTCTACCAGAACTAATAAGCACTTTGTTAATTTTGGGGGAATAATAGATATGGGGAAATGAAACTTAAAAAGTGATATCAAGAATTAAGAAATCAAGCAATTTGATTTTAAAAAGAATCTTTTGGATTTTAAGCAGTCCATAAATTAAACAATAGCCATTCATGTTGTTTTTTTTTTCCGGTCTGTCTTTTTAATTATGTTGCCTTTTCATCCATTTTAGGCGTGCTCTAAGATTTTAGTTGCTGGGACCTGAATCCCACATTGAGGTCTCAGGAGTAGAATCCTTGGTGTGTAGTTCTGGCGTCTGCTCAGCTGTCTCGCCTTTCTGTTCCTAGGTGTCTCACTGCATCCCTGTGAGTGAGAACAGTGTCATGGCTATTTTTCAGGAGCTCAGAACCCACGGAGCCAGTCGTGCTGTGCTCAGCCACAGGCTGGCTGCCGTCCAGGCACCCTCCCACCCCTGCCCCCCACTTTCTGCTGTTGCCTCTTCTTGACACCTGTTCTCATCTTTTGGGAGTTGGGGGGAAGCCATGTTTAATTCCCGTTATCTCTGTCATTACATTAGGTTCCAGCAGTTGGATGAAATTAATTTTGGGGGAATATTTATGCATTTCAAAGGTCTCTGCCAGCCTTAGTGTCATTTTCTAGCAATAACTGAGAGCCCGCTAACGTTATTTCGCACGTGTTTAGCCAGGCTTCCTGGATGTTTCTGAAGGTAAGATCACTTCATTTCTTCGACCTGCTTATGAGTAAGTGAAACCTGCTCTTCCAGAACCGCCCCGAGAGTGGATCTTATCTTCCCAGCAGTGTGCAAGACGGTTATGAGTTAGCCCCTCACCACCGTTTCCTTCCCTACCCCCCGGGTAAAATAAATCGGAGACAGTCAGCCCACACTTCCATCCCAGCGGCCTCTACCTCCAGACCACGCGGTCTCCCGGGTGGAGAGAGGCACAGCTGAGTCGGTCTCTGTCAGGTGTTGGACCCTTTGAGTCGCGTTCTTGGAGAGAAACAGAATGGTGCTCTTAACTTTCTTGACTTTTAACAATGACTAAAAACACCAAAAATCAGAAAGTCTTGTGATGCGTTCCGCAGTCCTGACTCTGGGCTCCCTGGAAGGCAGCAGCATCCCTTTTTTGTATGGGGAACGAATGACGTTTATGATAAGTCTTTCTATTTTCTACTTATTTCATCGGTGCACACTCAAGATCCCGGTTTTCTCTAGTAGGTTCAGTCTTGGAGCTGATTTGTTATCTGTCTCGATCACCCTTTTATCTTTTTGGGTAACTCTTTGTACTCCTGCCGCCTACCTCTCCTCACACCCCCTTTTTTAACCCTTGGTGTCTGTTGGGTGAGCAGTGTAAGTGATCTTCTCATCTGCTTTTAGACTGTGAGATATTTCCAGTACCTACACTTTTGCTGAATCCAAAGATATATAAATAAAAAAAATATATTTTATAAAGATCAAAATGATATAAAGGGGATTCGTGTTTCTTCCTTTAAAAATAAAATAGAGGTTACATTGTTAATGTCCATGTTAAGATGCCACTTTGTAAACTGTGCATCTGGACTGAGAGGTGTAAATATCCGTAAACAATCCACTGAGCTTATCGGTATTTAATAATGAGGTGAGTTAGGGGAATATGAGGGTGGGGCGTTACGGAAGATAACTGGCCTGATCCGGAAGTCGTCTGATCCACAGGGGAAGAACAGCTGGGATGTGCAGATGGGATCCAGTTACCCAGAAGCCCGTCCAGTTCCCTTTTGTTTGCAAACCATGAGTTTTGTTTTCAAGTAGGAAATTCACAGGAGCCAAATCTCTAGAATAGATGAAAATTTACCCCTGCTGCCAAGGATAATGAGTTGTGTTCAACTCCAAGGCAGATTATTAAATAACGAGCAGGGTTTCCTCTTCCTGTCTTTCTAGTATATGGAGTTTTGAAAATGGAAATGTCATTCTGAGAGCAATATGAAATTCTCAGGAACTGAGTTAGGGTATTGAGAATGAATTCAATTCCACCAAGTTTAAGTGTCACTTAAAAAAATGAAACTCATTCTTCACACTGCAAAGATGGAAACCCCGAGGGGTGACTTATGGACGGGGAGGGTGAGCTGTGACTGCTTTGCTGATGTTGGGATGTCGTTGTAAATAAAGGTTTCTATTTAAACCTGGAGCCTAAAGAGCTTGCATTTTTTAATTTTTAAATCCCCATTGGACTAGGGGCAACGGAGGAGGCTAAGGAAGCTTGTTTCCAATTTTAGTAGCAATGTCTGTGAAGTTAAAACAGAACAACTTCTGCTCGGGAACACGGCCTGTTTGGAGTGGAAAAGCATGGAACTGTTTTTACAAAATGAGAATGCTTAGGAGTCACCTCCGTCGTCTGAGAAAGGGGTTGGACTGGCGAGTAGAGTTCTCTTCTCCCATTCTAGAATTTCGACAACTACTTACTTGTAACACTGAATAAGTCAGATCACCTGGTGCATGAAGAAGGGTTGGCTAGGGTGAGTTGTTTTGCAGTTGATTTATACTTTAAAAAATGAAGTTCCAGAGCTGATATAAGACGAGACTTACCTGTGAGATCCCTTGAAATATTTTAGTGATAATTTACAACCATCTACTTCCCCTTAAAAATCCTCTAAACCCAAGACATCTCCTTATAAAAAGGAGTTGACTGGTCATTTTTAAAATGCCTTTTTTTTTTTTCTTTTTAAGAGAAATATTTTTGCTACAGGATGCATGCACTCCCTGGAGAGACAGAAAGCGAGAAATCACCCCCCAGAGGGGTGGCCATGCTGCAGTCCCCTCTCCCCCATGCTCCTCTTGGGACTTTGGGCATGTAAACACATGTGTCCAACGTGAGTTCCAATCCACTGGGTCCAGGACTCAAACCATAGTCAACTATGTGGGAGTCCAGTGACGCAACCATCATACCATCTGCTTTTTGTTAAAGAAAAACCAAACACACCAAAAAACTCCCAAGAATGGCCTTTTACAAAATGTCAAAGGTTTTTTCATACCAACTGCTGGTCGTTGGCTAGTTTTGAACAACGTATGACAATACTTAGACTACAAAATCTCTTTACAAATACAATTGCATTAAAATGTGGGGACATACATCAACTTCATTTCTTTTCAGTATCTTAAAAAAAAACATCAGTTCCGGGACAGATAACAGAGGACTACCGAGGGAAACGGTGTGTGGGCAAGGAACAGGCATGGCCACGACGGCAGGGCTTTTCTTTCACACAGGCCACAGAGCGCGTTTATTGACACCAGCACTCCTGAAAACTGGGTTTCTTATTAGTCAGATTCCCCTAAACGTTCCCGTGTTGGTTACATGTAAACAGTCCCGTATGTACAGTGAAGTCAGTCTCCAGAGGCAACCAGGGCTACCGTTCCTCGTTGGTGGCACTTCTGTGCTCCGCCTCGTCGGCAAGCTCTGTGCGCTGTCCTCAGCATCTGCCCCTGCAGGCCGCTCTGTCCCGCTCCTTCGTTTCCTCTTTGCGATGAATCAAAAGAACAGGATTTAAACTGGGATCGTTTTTTCCCTTACAATTTAAAAGCAAAATTCCAGTGACTTTTCACCCTTGGGGGGTGTTTCCAAGAACATCTCTGCCTTTTTCCCTTATGAGGCTCTCCGGGAGGGTTAGTGGTGACTTTCTGATGTGAAAATGAACCTTGTGCAGCTGGTGAGGTACAATCCAAAGCAAAAGCAAGGGCAAAATGGATTTCCTGACGTTCTCTCTGCTCCCGATGGTTCTCCAGGATGGGTCACTGACTGAAAGTGAGTTCTGTCTGTCGGGCCTCCCAGCCTCCTCACGCGTGGTTAACACTGCCTGCACCATCAGGTGAAGCCTCTGTGCTTCGGGGAGTCCACGTCTGTTGATCCTAGCCTTCCCAGCCTTCCCACAGCTGCCCCCTAGGGAAAAGAATGAGCTCGTCTTAGCATCCAATCAGCAGCTGCCCAGGGCTTCCTGCTCGGCCCTACAGCAGACTCGGATCCTTGCTTCAAGGATGTGGCTGCTGAGAATGAACACTTCTAGGCCATTCAGGAAGGGACTGCCACCACCTGTGACCATCTCACTTAATACCCGGCTGGCAAACAGAGCATTTAAGGATCCAGGTAGAGTCGTGGCTAGGAGGATGTGAGAGAGAATGGTTCTGTGTCTTAGTTCCAGAAGCACCAACAAAATGCCTAGGTGGCTTATTATTATTGTCCTATTAAAGCCACATGGGTTCATGTGCACATAAAGTAGTGAACAGGCCAGAGGTTGAAAGCGGCAGCTCACCAAGGGGATTTGTTTGCCTGCATAGTCAAAACTAGTTGCCAGTGTTAAAAAAAAAAAAATCCTTACACATATCTGCATTTTGGGATTTCCTTGATGAATTAGAAGATCAGACAAACTCCATCTCAGCTCTGCAGGGAACAAACTAGCCGCTCCCTATGCTCTAGGGGGGTGAGCATTCCTGGTGCCACAGTCTCCAAGAGGCCCCTGCCAGCCTCTGTTGGTGCTGGAGTGAGCATTTGCAGGATGGTCTTTGGGGAAACCATTGAATGAAACCACCCTACTGCTAACGTGGTAGACCAGTTAGCCCTTTCGCAGCCACAGCCTTCAAGAAGTCTGGCAACTAAATATGTCAGTGCTTCTCAGCCTCGAAGTGTTAACTTGAATTTACCAAGCACAGATTATTAGAGAGACAGCGGGACAAGATAGTAATCTAAAACAACAAAATGTACTCGAACAGGTTATCTCCCAGAAAAGACATCTCTGCTTCCCCTCCTTGTGAGAACAGACGGGGGCAATGAGAAATGGCATGCACACAGAATAGCCTGGACAACGAAGCAAGTCAGAACCAGGGTTCTGCTTGTCGACTGGCTCCTCAACTCACAGTGATTTGGAAGAAGGTCTCTTCATTTCTGGCCACTTTCGACGCTGAAACTGCCTGAGTTTTCAAGTGTCAAAAGGAGAATGAGTGTTAACCATCACCAAGAAAGAAAAAGTCATTCCCAAAGAACTGTACGGAGAAGGCCTCCTAGGTGACACCTAGCATTTTGGGGGTGACCCAGGTCCCTGGCAGACTAGAGAAAGGGCAGTCTCTCAGCCTGACAGGTGTAACCTCATAGAGGGAACTAAAGGCTGGCCCAGATAGGAACTTCCCTCAGGCTTACCTGTACTGCTCGTAGCTTCCTCCATCTTTAAGTCCTAGAGGAGGGAGAATGACAGGATAGGGACAGGAAGTTAAGAGAAGAATGGGGGCCAGTAGGTGGCATTGGTCACATTTAAATAAATAAAGTTAAATAATTAAAAAAAATGGCAGAGACAATGACAAGGTTTATAACTGCCATTTTTTTAAAATCTACTTATTTAGTTTAGTTTTGCTGTAGTGCATGTATGCTCGCCAGCAACAGAGAAGGGAAGTGAGGAACAGAGAAGGGAAGTGAGGAATCACCCCCCACACAGGATAGCCATGCTGCAATCCCTTCTCCATTCTCACCTCAGGATGGTCTTTTTTTAGGCTGTGGGGTCTAAGACTTGAACTGTGGGATCCAGCTGCCCTACTATGCCACTGGCTGGCCCTATAACTGCCTTTTAAACAAAACCAAACCCAAACCCAAACCACCGACCTAGAAAACCGTCCAGGCTCTGTCACAGTGCCACTGCTGTGTGATGCTGGTGGTGTTCTGTGGGCAGGCATGGGTGCTCCCTGTCCCCCAGGGAGCCTCACAGCCTGCTGACCTGGGCTTCCATGTCTGTGCTAGGTCCGGTGCTTTCACCCAGCACTGGCCTAGTCACAGTGAGAAGGTAGACACGGACATGAGTACCCCTGGCCCTGACAAAGGTGTGGTGGCAGGGAGAGCCCGTATCTGGGTTCTTGGGAAGGTTTCCTGAGGATTTAGCAATGCGGTCAAGGGCAAGGGCTTTGGAGCTGGCCGAACACGAGGATAAGAAAACTCATCTAGATGGTTATCACGACTGCTGGCCAGTGTAGTAAAGCCCTGGACCCTGGGGCTGGGCCTGCGCGTATGTGCTCGCACCTTGACCCTAAAGGCAGCATGGGTTGTGGGTGTCATGAAGCCACTGGTGCGAGTCCTGATGCCACCAGGTGGTACTGCTGTGTCTCCCACGGACGCTCTGTCTGCCCTCCCCTCTTCTGATCTGAAGCTGGCAGCAGCCTCTCTCTGGATTCTTCCGGAGCTGCCCAGCCGTCTTCCTGACACCAACACTCCATGCCTTACTAGGTACAGGCCAGGACTGCATCCCACTGTGGCTAGCGAGCAAATGCCTGCCTTCTTTCAGCCCTTCCCATCTTACAAGATCTAGCTGGCACCCAGAACTTGGCGCTGCGGATTGAGCTCTGTGCCACAGAAAAGCCGGGAGTTGTCTGGGACTCTCACTGCTACCCCCAGAACCAACCCTCAGTCCCAGTGTTCTTGGGACTTCACCCTGGAATCTTAAATCCGTCATCTTGGCCCCCGGCATTACTAGTCCCAACTGCCATCACCTCGCTGGATACCCTTGTCCCTTACTGTCCCCCCCCCC